GGGGGGGGGGGGGGGGTGGGGGGTTAGGGTTTAAGGCCTCTTTAGGGCCTTTTTGGGTTCAGGGTTTCGCTTTGGACTTCGTTGCTGCTTTGCTTTTCCTTGGGGAGAGGAGGGGGGGCTCCGGGAGTCTCTGACCCGAGGATGCCGGGGTCGAGGGCCTTTTGGGGGGTCAACGGTTTAGGGGTTTAGGCTTAGGAGTTTAGGGTTTAGGCGTAGGGCATCGGAGTTTGCGGGCTTAAAAACTTTAAAGTGCAAGGCTTCGGCAGTGCTTCGCTCTGCATCTTTTGCTGGGGGTACCGAAAACGAAACACCGGGTGAGAAACAAACCCTCTTTGAGAACGTCTCAAAGTCAGGGCAGAGCTGGTGGAGGGGTTGGCCTTTCGTCTAAGCACTGCACGTACTTAATTTGGGTTGCCGGAGACCGCTGCACCAGGAAACACGTTCAAAGCGATGCTACAGGAGTTAGGTTTCGTAGGTGAACACGAGCGATCTCACTTCTCTGCCCTAACGCCTTTTCAACCCTAAACCTGCACAGCACAGCATCCGCCAACGCCGCAAGAATTTAGCAAAGCCCGGCCGACGGTGCTGATTATGTGGAGGTACGAGACTCACCAAATCCCCCGGCCACCCAAGGCATGCGCGAACCGATTTGCTTTTCAGATGAGACGCCGTGGCACCAAACTGCTGTCGGAGACTTGCCTTTTCCAAAGACCTGCCAAATTCACGGTTTTGGGGTTCCGATTCAAGCTTTTGGGGTTCCGATCTCTGAGGCTTTTGGGCACCGTTTGGAAAAAACTCCCCGAACCCTAGCAACTGCAGCGTAAGGTTGGGCAACCCGTGCTTAGAGCTTCGAGCTTCAGGGCCTAGAACACCTCAACTCCTCGAAGCCTACGGTAAGCCCAAACGTCCTGAACCCCGAAACAGCATCATCGAAGCTTGAAGCAAAAAACGAAGGATTCCAGAGTTCTTGTGCTGTGGATTTATTACGGCACATCAGGAAATCATGGTACTAACACCCAAAACCGAAGACGCTGCACTAATGCCTGGCCCTCACCCCCGTAAAAAAGCCTACAAGCCTGAAAACCAGCAAAACTCAACACCTGAAACCCTAAACCCTAAACCAAGCGGTCGGGTTTTTGAGCATGGAGTCCCAGCTTGGCTCTTTTGAACGCCGCCGTTTTCCGAAGTGCTGTTTAGAGAATCCCTATTAGTTGGGCAGGCGGTGTTCGGAGTTCGCCCAGCACGGCTTGCTCTCCACCCTGACAGTTCAATCCGGGGTTCGGGTTTCGTGCCCAGGCTGTAGATTACAAGTATTCTATCTACTCCTGACAGGACAAGGCTTCTTAGACGTGAGCATCGAGCTCCAGATCTAGACTGGAAGACGCAACAAAACTCCGAAGCCCTTCCGACTTGCATCTGGATCCTGAGCTGTCTCTCCGAACCTCAAAATGACAGAGTCTTGTGTCTTGCCTGCACGGCCCAACATCTCTCAGCCTGTGACACAGGGAAGTCTTTTCCGAGCCCCGCATGGTGTTGAGATGTTTCCAAGGACACCTAGCAGCATGCATGTCTTGGCAAACATGTGGCCTCCTCCATCCTGCGCCATGCCGTATATCGCAACCTGACTAGAAGCTCGAGGGGTGCAAGACAAGCTCTCAATGCAGAGGTGTTCGGAGAGCCGCCGGAAAGGCCAGTCATGTTGAACACGCCTTGAAAAACGCAGGAGCCGTCGCAAAGTCATACGTTAACTTTTCCATGAGATGTGTCTTTAAATGCACTGTCACTATCTGTTTGCTGTTGCCGGACCACGATCACCGTAACGACCATCATCACCATCGTGGTGAAAAATCACGCTCTTGCTCCCGTTACCGGGACGCCTCCGCTCCATTTGCCGCTGCAGAGCCTGCACGGCCAGCGGAAGCTGGGATGTTTGTGAAGCGCATGTCTTCTTCAGACTCATCATGCCAGTCATACTACTACCGA